TAATTCTTAATTTGTTTCTGTGTGGAATTCTAGTCATATTGAAAACTAGATTTTTTTTTGCAACAAGAGTTAAGGCTTGTTTTTGATTTTTTGCCAGATATTCAGAATCCTCTGGTTAAAATTTTGCCCTTTTACCCCTACTTTTTTCATAATTTTAGTAAAATTGTCATAAAGCGGGAGGTTTGGCATGCCATGAAACCAGGTTCAACCCACCATTTTGTTTTCTTAAAATATCCTGTACCAAGTCAGGAATATGACAGTTGTTATCAAATGGTTCGTTTCTATGGGTGTTGGCGTTTTTTTTTTGTTGCACTTCGGTGTTCCTGTTGTTCATTTGTTTTCCTCTTATAGTTGATGTGTTTCCCTCGGTTTTGGTTTGTAACCCGGATTTGTTTTCTCTTAATGGATCTATGACTTTTGAACACATGTATACTACTGTTGCCTTTATTTATAACATACAGTTTAAAAGCCATTATTGAAAATCTTCTAAAATTGTTATTATTTTAACATAATTTTTGAAAGAAAAAAAGGGCCAATGTTACATGTATGAAAAGTTCTTGACTGAATCCTTTCCCGCCAAATTTTCAATTGATTATACCTCAAAAACAAGGACGCTGACTATTAATTTTTTTATACTTTTTAAGTTCCCTTATTTATATACTATCAATTTATATCAGTCTTTTAAAAAACTTTTTATTTTGAAACAGTGGACCAATGGTAAGTTCTTTGTCTAGTCTATCCACCCTAGAACACAACAATATTTGTATCATGTAACAAAATGTATATATAAATATCACACACTCAGTATCTAGTATCTGAACAAATTGAATGATACACTTATTTGGTCTTGATTTCAGAAAATGCTTTAAAACGTACTTAAATAAATATTCCAACATATGAACTTCAATTACCTGCATTTTTCCCCTTCTCTTACGTATGAATGTGATCAGTTGTTTTTCTCTTTTCTTGATGTAAAAGGTTTTGAGTGTTGATTGGGTATATTTAAACTTTTGCATTTCAAAGTTTTCACTCTAAGCCTTCCTGGTGAATATTAAAAAAAAAACTTTCAATGCAAAGATATCTTTTTAATCAATTTACCAGCTAATAATAACATTTTGGGACATTCACAGGATAAACATTTTTCTGAAAGCCCTTGAAACCAGCCTACAATATAAAGATAGTCAATCATGATCATATAATTGAAAAAGGTGTTCAAAGATCTAAATTAATGAAATCAGAGTTACATAAATATAGATTCTACAACATAAGTCCATTGATTTCAATAATTATTCAAACAAAAAAGTAAAATTTTCAACTTAAAAACTTAAAAATACAAGTTTTCAACTTAAAAACTTAAAAATACAAATTTACACTTTGAAATAATTCAACTATCCACAATGGATAAAAATTGTAGTCAACTTGGCAAAGGGGTAGAATCTGTTACTCGTATGATATGATCGAAAATGCAAAGTGCACTATTTCAAATGGATATGGCGGGAAATTACATGAGAAAAATTAAATCAATGTGTTGGTTGTATATCAAAATTGATCAAAATACGTTTAAAGGCATACAGAATCAGATAAATGTATTCATACATTAACATTTCCCAGTTGATACATGTATGAACAAGCAATATATTAGACAACAATAACTAAACATTTCTCCACACTTTATTAATAAGTTCTTTTAAGGAGAACCAGATATGTTCAGCCTCTCAAATGAAATACCCTTCAGCGATGATAATATGATTAATTTTTTGGGTTAAAGCTTTTTGATTCTCAAATCTAACTAGTTTATTACAATTTGATCAGAAAATATAAATTAAATGGTGTAATTGATCAAATAAGCCAACAACAAGAAATCCTATGACATGCTGGTTAAAAACATATAATAAAGGTTTTTCTACAAGTAAATACCTTTTCCAAAAAGATTCTGTTTTGCCAAAATCTATCCTCCAAATATATTTTGTATGAAAAAAAAATCCTTTATATCAAGTCTTAAAACTTGTGGGTAAATATTTCATGACAAAACACTTTCTATTTGTAAATAATAATAATCTCTTTCCCAAGGTGTTTATCAAAATCATAAACACGTACGGAACTTTCAGATTTTTTAATACTCTCTTTGTGTTGCTGCTGATTATTAGAGGATTATGTTGTGTCTGAGGTTGATTTGTGTGTACTCTGTAATCGGTCTTTGTTATTTTTAGAATATTTACTTTCTTCGTCCTCTTCAGCTATTGTATCACTTGTACCATTTTTTCTTAAAATGTCCTGTACCAAGTCAGGAATATGGCAGTTGTTATCAAATAGTTCGTTTGTATGTATGTTGGCGTGTGTTTCTGTTGTTCATGTTGTTCATGTGTTTTCCTCTTATAGTCGACGTGTTTCCCTCGGTTTTGGTTTGTAACCCGGATTTGCTTTCTCTCAATCGATGTATGACTTTTGAACACCGGTATACTACTGTTGCCTTCATTTGTAGATGTGACAATTCCATATAGTGTTTATGATTAAGTTGTGAGGTAGCTGCTTCTGCTGTTTCTAATCTAGAAATAATCAAGTTTGAAAGAAATTACCTACATTTTTCAATGCATCCTTGAATAACCCAAAATGCTAGCAGTCCTAATATGATATTTTTGCAAAAATTTAGGCCGATTTAATTATAAACTTCAACATTTAAAACAGCCATGCAGGAAAACTCCTGTTTATACCTTCATGCTGACTTTAATGTATAACATTGTTTTTACATTTGAATTGTTGTTTTTAACTAAAATTAAAAACAGTTACAAGTCAACCAATTACTTGCAAATTGTTGTGGTATTTTCATTTTTATGAAATATATAACTCTCTCTCATACTCATGACTCCTTACAAACATAAATGTCCCTGAGTCTTTTGTAGACGAAACGCACGTCTGGCGCAAATACAAAATCTCAATTCTGGAATCAAGATGAATTTATTTGCTCAGATGGAGCTAAGAGATATGAAGTCACAAAAAAAAAAAACTAGCATTACAGCCTCAACAGTGCTGATCACAATATCTTAACAGAGGTTAAAAATAGCTTTAGGTAACTTTAAACTCTACTGAAGAGTTGCAACGATATAAGATTACACTTTTGTGAGTTACAGTAGAAGAATTATAATACCCGAATGGCTGAAAGGTATACCTGATCATACCTTGGATGGGTTTACTCTTATATGGGACATGCATAAAAGTTGTGAATTTACAATTATATCATTACTTGTAATTAATTCAAATGTAGATATTGTCAACTGGGGTAACAACTTAACACTAGAGGTAGCATGGTTTTATTTCTCTAAAACTTATTTCTATAACTATTTTCTATGTCTAAATACCACAACTTCATGAAATTTCACTCCACCAGAACAAAACTCAAAATCATTCCTTAACTTTTTATGCTTAGAAATTATACTTGATACAATGCATATAATCAAATGAGTCATGCATTACATAAAAGAAAATGCAAAGAATTTGTAGAACCACAACTTTTACAAGAAAGCTCATTTTGGATGGAACTCCAACTTTCATCTGCAACTTTTTCTGATAGAATTTTTTATCAAATATCTAATTGATTGATTTAGTATTAAACAAAAAATATCATTCACAATTGTTCGATTTTAGTTTTTAAATTTCCCTTCTTAATTGTTAAGATCATAAGATCTTTTATATGGTACTATAAATAGTAAACGGAATTTCCTGAATTTTGAGCCTAAGGTTCATAAGATCTTTTGTATGGTACTATAAATAGTAAACGGAATTTCCTATTTTAAACCCAGGGTTGTTTTAACAAGATGAAGTAGAATATAAAGACATAAGGTAATAAAGACAAAGGTAAGACAAGTGGTATAAAAGAAAATAACTATCAAATATTTTCAAAACGTTACATCTTATATCAATAGTATTTTAAAATGTGAACTTGGGATTGCATAATCCACCAGCCCAAATCAGACATTTTATATCTATGTGACCTACATTTTGTTATTGCTTCAATCAGATATAATAAGTGTATAAATAACAATATCTGTGATTTATCTTCACCCATACAAAAACAGGTATGTTAATTTCTATTTTTTTAAAGCTGACAAATTTTTGATGCACTTTACTTTTTTTCTTTTTTTGTTACTGTCAGATGCATTTAATCAATACTGGATCAATAGATATATCAAAACTTCAAGATACAATTTATGATGAATATTTAGAGATGATCTTCTGAATTAATCTTTTCCATGTACACATTGAGAAGCACATACACTTCAAAATCCATGCTCATCATAGGTTATGTCGAATTAATTTGTTTTAATACATATGAGATCTGGCTCATATTAGATTTATGAAGAAAACTATCAATAATGAAAAATATATTATCTCCTTGATGATGAATATCTGAAGGTATGTAACAGAAACTAAAATTAAAACACTAAGCATTAACACTTGTTTTCTTCAATAAGTTGTAGGATGGACAGAGAGAATCAACGTAGATACCTAGTGGTTGGATATTCAATATTTTCAAAACCTTGCATCTTATATTAATAGTATTTTAAAATAACTTGTATTTTTTCATTTCGAAAATATTTCGATTTTTTTGAAAACTGACAAATTGTTTATACAATCTACTTTCGTTTTTTGTTACTGTCAGATGCATTAAATAAATACTAGATCAACAAGTAAATCAAAACTGTAAGATACAATTTATGATGAAAATAAAGAGATGCTCTTCTGAATCAAACTTTTTCCAGGTACACAATGAGATGTTGTCTCAAGCACATACACTTCAGAATTCCTGTTTAATTAATTTGTTTTTATACATATGAGGTTTGTCTCATATTAGATTTGTGTAGATTACTATCAGTAATGAAAAAAAAAATATTATCTCCTTAATGATGAATATCTGAAGATATGCAACAGAATTTAAGATTAAAACACTAAGCATTGTTTAAACTTTTTTTTCTTTTTCTTCAATTAATTACAGGATGGACAGACAAGATCAACGTAGATACCAAGTGGTAAAGTCTGTCATTTTAGAAGTTGTGACTCCCTTGTTTCAACAAACGATTAAAAATTACTATACAACTGGTGGGATTGGATCCTTTCAGGCATTTATCAGTAGTCAAACTGTAGTTCACACTCTATTTCACCTACGGCATGGAGTCGCATTGTGTTGCAAGGACCAAGCAAACTGCCGTTACCCTGCTGCATTTGCGCCTTTGTTCAACTACCAATGGAAAAAGTTGTATTCTCAAAACCTAAGACCATGTAACAAAACTTGCCACTGTAAATATACAGTTAATCCTGTTCAGCTTACAGACCTTGATGTCAGCCTTTCCAGTCTCATTTTGATTTGCTGCTGTACCCTATCAAAAATCGAAAAAGAAGCTATTCAGTTGTTACGAAAATATAAGAATGAATATTTAAGTCATGATACAACATGTCGTATTACCCAAACTAAATACAACACATTATGGCCAGACTTAGTCATTAATGTCTTGCGACTTGATTCCAGTAAAAAGGATGATCTTGTACGCATAGAGAAAAGACCACTAGATGAGTCACTATCTGATAAATACTTCACATGCTTTCTAGATCTTCATGAACAGGTATAATATCTATCTACATTTTCATTACAACTTCAACTATTGTACCCATTTACATTTATGATTTGTTTTACGGTTTAACAAGTGTAGAGAGATTAATTTTTTTATCTACTTGATACACTATAAAACAGGTGATATTATCTTCCCATTCCTGTTTTCCAAATTTGGTTGCACATTATTCACCTGTAATGTATCTAAATGAATTTTTTATGCTACAAATGTAACAAAAGTATATATCAATGCACTATGCTCTGCTCTCACAACCAAATTTCAATGTTTATTAAACCAGTGCTTAGACGTCTGAACATTCACTCATTGTGGTTCTTTTGCTAGAATCGATGCTTTTTTCAACTGTTCCCCTTGATTGGCTAATTTTTAATTATCGTAAACAACTAGAAATGTAAAAAGTAACATTTGACTTTTGCAAAATTGTATTTGCCGTGACTGGGGTTCGAATCCCCCTCTTCAAATAAATTATTTTTCACAGTTCATAACAACATCGACAAAACCGCCCTACTTCCAATTGGATGATATTGAAATGTCGATGATACATTTATCAATATAATATTGTTCAATATGTACATAGGGCTTGCGCTTTTATATATTTAAAAGCGATGCTTATATATATAGTGGAATCTAAAAGTAAAAGTTGATAGTAACACTATTAGACATATTTCGCATAGTTGCTTAGGCTTTCCCTTTCTTCTAACTTTTGTATTTTACTATGATTTTTTAGCAATAATAAATGATCATTATCTGTTTGTTTTCATTACTATCGACAATTGCATATTATTCTTGAAAACTGTTGATTGCAATTTCATCTGCTTCACTGCATTTTTTTACATAGTCATAAGATTTTTTAAAAAGTGTAAATAGAGAAGTGAATTTAAACTATTTTTACCCAATTCGCCGAAGGCTAAAGAAGTTCTTGTAACCGCTTGACTCCGTCCATCTGTCCGAACGACCTTGGTTATGGATATTTTTGCCAAAATTTTCATGGCTTCTATAAAGGAAAATGGTCTAATATTTGGTCTGCAGCTTGATAATGTTGAGTTAATTTTGTAGCAAGAGAGCAATTATAACATCCACTGTGCATGATGTGCAGCCACTTCCAGGTTGCCGACAGTATGACATTTTACAACACTCATTGTACAAGGAAAACTTTCGTCAAACTTTTCATAGCTCCTATCAAGGGTTAAAACCACTAAGTCTTAGACCTATTGCTTTATAACTACATTCCACAATTTCAACGATCAATACATATTTTGTTTTAAATTCAAGTAAATTTACAGTCATTGCATTTCATGTCAAAACTGTACCTTGTCCTGATTTGTGCTAACAAAGCTCATCATATCTTTTATTGCATATTATAACGCACTGGTTCTCAGAAGTTTCGTAGTACAACACCATGTACTTCTGATTTGAGCAATACGGTCAATATGCCCTCCTATTCAAATTTCATACTATTATTCAAAAGAAACTTTCAAGAAACTTATTAATTCAAATTTAGAATAACTCAAATGTTAACATCACACAAACATTCTGCAGTATCATTTACATTTTTTTCCATTCTTTTTTTCTTTTCTTTTTTCTTAAATATACCGCAGCGCCAACAAAGGATGCGACATGTAAAGAATTGAGTTATTGTTTGAATTATCAAAAATGTTAAAACAATTTTACCATATGGTTGTGAAATATGGGGATTTGGTAATAATGCTATGTTTGAAAACATTCATTTGAAATATTGTAAAACCTTTACTCCACGTTCAGTCTTCGAAACATAACTCTGATTTATGGCATGTTAGGCAGATATCCATAACAGTTTGATACTAATGACTCAAATGGCACTTGAAACAAATTTCCGATCAACTTGGCTACAATGCATAAAAAACAACCTAAACTAATGTGGACTTTCCTTTATGTTGAAATATCAAACTTTTTATAATGCAGATTGACTTAAGCGTGTTGTTAAAAAAGTAATTTAAAAGACCAATTTACTCGAACTGGGGTCTTAAGTGTAGAAAACTCTGCAAAAAGTTCCAGTATCGAATGTTTAAAGAATTGTTTACAGCTGATGTTCTAATAGACAAACATATGTTTACATTTGGTAAATTTAGAATGGTAATTCATAAACTGTCAATAGAAAATAGGAGGTGGTTTAATACCCCAAGAGAAAATCGGACCTGCCATTTATGTGAAGATGGCGATATTGGTGATAAATATCATTATCACCTCAAAATCATTTTTTCACTGCAGAAAGACAAAAAATTCTTAGACAAAAAATTCACCAAAAATTGTAATATTTTTAAGTTCATGGAATTTATGAACACTTCTAGATAATATAAGCTTAGAGATTTGTGTACGTTTATTGAATATTAACGATGAAGTGGATTCTCTCAATTAATCTCATCCCTTCTCCACTGGGTCGATGCCACTGCTGGTGGACGTTTCGTCCCCGAGGGTATCACCAGCCTAGTAGTCAGCACTTCGGTGTTGACATGAATATAAATTATAGGGTCATTTGTTTTATAAATTTCCTGTAACAAAACTTTGAATTTTTCGAAAAACTAAGGATTTACTTATCCCAGGGAAAGATTACCTTAGCCGTATTTGGCACAACGTTTTGGAATTTTGGTTCAATGCTCTTCAACTTTATACTTGTTTGGCTTTATAACTATTAAGGTTTGAGTGTCACTGATGAGTCTTATGTAGACGAATCGCGCGTCTGGCACATTAAATCATAATCCTGGTACTTTTGATAACTATTTACACCACTGGGTCGATGCCACTTCTGGTGGACGTTTCGTACCAGAGGGTATCACCAGCCCAGTAGTCAGCACTTCGATGTTGACATAAATATCAATTATATGGTCATTTTTTTGTATAAATTTCCTATTACAAAACTTTGAATTTTTCGAAAAACTAAGGATTTTCTTATCCCAGGAATAGATTACCTTAGCCGTATTTGGCACAACTTTTTGGAATTTTGGTTCAATGCTCTTCAACTTTGTACTTGTTTGGCTTTATAACTATTTTGATCTGAGCGTCACTGATGAGTCTTATGTAGAAGAAACGTGCGTCTGGCGCATTAAAATTATAATCCTGGTACCTTTGATAACTATTAACACCACTGGGTCGATGCCACTGCTGGTGGACGTTTCGTCCCCGAGGGTATCGCCAGCCCAGTAGTCAGCACTTCGATGTTGACATGAATATCAATCATATGATCATTTGTTTTTATAAATTTCCTGTTACAAAACTTTGAATTTTTCGAAGAACTAAGGATTTTCTTATACCAGGAATAGATTATCTTAGCCGTATTTGGCACAACTTTTTGGAATTTTGGTTCAATGCTCTTCAACTTTGTACTTGTTTGGCTTTATAACTATTTTGATCTGAGCGTCACTGATGAGTCTTATGCAGACGAAACGCGCGTCTGGCGCATTAAATTATAATCCTGGTACCTTTGATAACTATTTACGGTCTTCCATTTAATATACACTGCACATGTTTACAATGTCAACTTTTTTTTTGTATCTCTATTGTATTTATTGTTTATTTCCTCAACATATGTACCTTTGTATTATTGTGTCTTTGATCTTCTGTGTACCATTGTTTCTACAGTGGTTTATCAGAATGAAGTATCTATACTATTAAATGAAAAGACCTCATTTTGTGTGTCGCTTCTCTTCCTTCCACAAAGTATTAATCACCATGCCTCTGTGTTCTATAGGTAACATACATAGTCGCATTTGTCACCCTCGCTTTTGATTATTCCGTTTGGGTTATTTTGGGAGGAAAACGAAAATAAAGGCGTCCGGATATTGTTTCCGTCATCGGACGGACTTTTAAGTCATAGACAAGACTTCCGTTTAGGACTGTTTAAAATTACAAATAATTTCCACAGGTACTTGGGGACAGGACAATTATTTTTGCGTTTTTCTGTATACTATGAACATACATATACTATAAATAAAGTGTATTTGCTATTTACTATCAATTGCATGTTTATTATCCACGGCGATCAATGATATATTATATAGAGAGTGACCGCCGTAAACTTGGAATTGATAGTAAATAGAAAATACACTTTATCAATAGCATATGTATGTTCATAGTATACAGAAAAACGCGAAACTAATTGAAATTATTAGAAAACAAAAAATAACGGATTTTGGTAAAAAGGGGGAGGGCTAAAAAAATTGTCCTGTCAATTGCAAATAGCAAATACACTTTATTTATAGTATATATATGTTCATAGTATACAGAAAAACGCGAAAATAATTTAAATTAATAGAAAACAAAAAATAACAGATTTTGGAAAAAAAGGGGGAGGGCAAAAAAAATTGCCCTGTCCCCAAGTACCTATGACTTTTTATACCTTTCCTGAAATTCTCCAGTTATAAAATATTTTACAAAATTCATCCTACAACAGTTTACATACTTTCAACCACGCTATAAATGCCCGCGATTTCGCGGGTGTGTTCTAGTATAATCTTTTAAAAAAAATAAAAAAGGAAGGGTTCTCCAGTGATTCAAAATCCTTAAGCTTTCATTTGATACCACACTATGTTTTACTTTTGGACACAGTTATAGCTATGTGTAGGAACTAACAAGTTTAAAATATGTACTAATTTATTGTACTAGACTAAGTATGTTCTTTCTGACCGGGATGTTCTATACCTTAAAGGGAATGAATTTTTTGGTCTGCAGAATGATAGTGTTGAGCTGTAGCGAGTACGCAAATTTGTTTTAAATCATCTACCGATAGTTAGAAATTTAACAACACTCCTTGTATATAGGGAAATTTTTGTCAAAGTTTTCTTGACTTCTATGAAGAATGGTTTACTATTTGGTCGGCAGCTTGTTGTAGCGAGTAAGCAATTTTGACATCTGCAGTGAAGCCACTTTCTGTTTGCGGATAGTTTGAAATTTTACTACACTCATGGTTAACGTATGATCATCGTCAAAGTTTTCTTGGCTTTAATGAAAGGAAATGATCAGTTATGATTCAGTATACATGCAACCGCAATCTATAACATGGATCGACGCAGGTTCTGACCTGGTATTGGTATTGTTCTTACAGTAACTGTTTTACTGTAAAATGTTTTCGATTTGCTTTGTATTGTCAATAATGGATAAATTTTTGAACCATATTCCTTATACTGTAAGTTCACACGATTTTTGTATTAATTTTCCTTTACAATTGAAATCATCACCGTAACTGTATATATATAATAAAATAATAGAGTAAAAAATAAGGGAATTATGTGCGCTTACAAATAATAGGGTCTACTAAATAAAGGAACTGTAATTGGCATAATTCGTGGCACAACAATATTTTAATAAAATTGAGAATGGAAATGAGGAATATGTCAAAGAGACAACAATCCGACCAAAGAGCAGACAACAGCTAAAGGCCACCAATTGGTCTTCAATGCAGCGAGAAAATCCTGCACCCGGAGGTTGTCCTCAGCTGGACCCTAAATAAAATTGTGTGCTAGTTCAGTGAAAATGGACGACACACTAAACTCCAAAACATTTGAATGAACTAAAATTAAAAAACATACATTACTAACAAAGGCCAGAGGCTCCTGACTTGGGACATGCGCAAAAATGCGGCGGGGTTAAACATGTTTTGTGAGATCTCAACTCTCCCCCTATACCTCTAGTCAATGTAGAAAAAAGAAACACATAGCAATACGCACAGTAAATCTCAGTTTAAAAGAAGTCCGAGTCCGATGTCAGAATAGGTATCAAAAGAAACTAAGCAAAATGACAATGATACATAAATGAACAAAGGACTACTAGCAATTACTGACATACCAGCTCCAAACCTCAATTAAACTGATTGAAAGATTATGTCTTCATCGTATGAAAATCTAGTACAATCCCTCCCGTTATGGGTTTAGTATCATATCATCATAAAATATATGAGAAGAACATAACCCGTATGCCAACAACTGGTTTTAGAATAAATATGTTTATTTTCCGATGCAAAGACCCTATGAGTGAATCAATATTAATACCAAAATATGCAATTCTTAATGACTTGACAACAGTATCGTAACTATATCCTTTCCGAATAAGTCTGTTTAAAGGTTTGGTTAGCTTTTAAAGTGAATCGAGTACGAGATACAAAGGATAAGCGTTAGTCCAAAATAGATACTATTCAGAATTAAGGTATCCTTTAAACGAAGTAACGATTATCAATTGTATCTTAAACACAAAGGCACCAAAATCTTGTCAAAACCCTAATTTGTCATATATTCTAATTTTTAAATTGATGTGCCTTCAACTTTATGGTAAACTTTTTTTTAAACATTTTGAAACTATCTTGAAAATCCCAGCAAACTTAGTTTACGGTTGATGTGACCACAACTTTATTGTAAAAGAAAGGCTTAAATTACCAACGTGACATTCAAACCTGAAAATAGACTGAAAAGTACATGTCAAAACTCAACTACCTAAAACGTAAATTTTAACCTGATGTAGAACTGATAAACTAGCAGACACAAACTGGATAAAAAGCTGCCCCCCTACTACTATGGCATATTAAAATTAGTTATGAGAGGTAAATTAGATGCCACATCTCTGAGTTTTTAAGTGATGAAGTTCGTGAACTACCACACAGTATATTCTCTTAATTTTACATTAAAGATAGAGTCAACCACGCAAAATGTGCATTCATCCATTAAAGATGTCAATACCTCAATTGATGGGCTTATCAGCTTTCTTCAGTTATCAGTTCAAAGAATAGATACAAGAGTTCAAGGGATGGAGACAAGTGTTCAAGGAATGGATACAAAAATCCAAGGTATAGGTACAACAATCAAAGGTATGGAAACAAGAGTCCAAAGAATGGATACAAGAGTCCAAGTAAGTGTCCAAGAAAGAGATACAACAGTTCAAGAAATGAGAAATTCCATCCAAGGATTAGAAACATCAGTTCAGCAAACAAATGACCTTATTAAGGTAAATTTAAATAAACTGATTAATATATTGGTCGAACAAATAAGTATGGTAAGTGTTCGATTTATTTGACCTGTTGAAGTTTGTTATGTTTTGATATTACCTGCAACTCGATTTGGGCCTCACTATTAAGTCTTTTGTAGAAGAAACGCGCGTCTTGAGTACCAAAGCTTAAGACTGGCATCGATAATGAGTTTAGGCTGTCTTAGACCTGCGTTAGGTTTAATCACGTTGAGCTGAAGAAAGATAATAAATATTGTCCCTTTTTTATAGGTTTTGTAAAGTGCATGTGATGTTGTGTTTTAAATAAATACATCGCATCCCTTCTTTAATTTTCTTTTGGAATCTTGCATTTCAGTCATATCATATTAAAATTAGAATGCAAACCAAATTTATAAAGATAGAAAATGAGCATATAACCCAGCCCTCCCAAATTCAAACTCAGGAAAAAAACACATCATAGATACCAAGATTAAAATTTAAAATATATGATTATTTTATGTATAGATTTTTGTATCAACAGGTCAAGTTTGATATTAAGATATCAACATTTCCTTTTTATTTACAAAACTTTCTAGATCATATATGTCTTTTGCAAAGATCATCTGTCTAAAAAGGGTTATCTTAAAGACACTTTCATTAGGAGATAACTGTATTGTATTTTGAGCTCCGGCGGCATCAATTGGTTATTTGTTGGTCGCATATTAAGTTTATATAAAATAAACGGGTATTTACGACCATCAAATCACCAATTGATGCCATCGGAGCTTAAAATACAATATTGGTATCTCCATTCTAATGAAACAGACAGCAACAATGTCAAGTCATACATTTAAAATCTGTCATACGTCGTCTGCGCTTGCACGTACGTTTTCAAAACATCATTTGTAAATGGATGCCATGAAAATTAGTGACAATATCCATCAAAAAGAACGTTACAAACGATTTTGCATTATAATTAGGAATGATATTCAAGACGGTATATGAGATAGCCAAGGAATCAATTCCAACACTATGGTTTCCGAGATTAATAAAAGTAAATAAATGCATAATCTCTATAAACAAATTTGGATATTTGAAATAGGGATAATCTTGGATTCATGATGTTTGTACTATTTTATGGGATTTGGACTGTCTTTTAGTAACTTCAAGTATTCTCAGATCAGTACTCTGTGTATCCGTCTCGTTTAATGTGTTTGTTTTTTTGAACTCACTGTCAAAGATAAGGGTGTTGGACGCCCGCAAAAATGTTTCACATTGCCAGATTTTATATCTGCATGTCCCAGGTCAGGACCCTGCAACTTAGTAATTTGTAACTGTTTATCATATTTTTTTTCGTTTAATTTTTTTAAATAAATCATGATGTTAGTTTTTCTCGTTTAAATTATTTTTCATATCGCATGTCGGAGCCTTGTATAGCTTGTTATGCGGTATTAGGGTTTTCTAATTGTGGAAGGCCGTACGATGACAAATAGTTACTAACTGGTATGTCATTTAGTCTCTGGTAGAAAGTTGTCTCATTGCAATCATACTGCACATTTCTTATAACATATAAAGAAACCAGTAATCCAGTATTACATAAGAGTGAACACGCTCCAATATCTCGCATACCAGACAGATATATGCCACTTGCAGTCATATTATCCAAAAAATACAGTTAGTCTTTTGCTTATAATAACTGAGCAACTTGCCTAATTACACAGATTTAACATTGACCAATGAACGATTTCATATGGGCAAGGTCAAATGAAGACTGCCAAACAACATATACAATATGCAATCAACCATTCCATACACCAAATACATTAGACATATTAACTTTATTATCTGAAAAACATAAATAACCATAAAAAACTAAACATTAACTAGTGATCTATGAAAAGGAGTACATAGTCAGATGAAACCTGCCAGAGAGTCATGTACACCTTACAACCATTCAATAAACCAAAAATAGTTTACTTATTGCTTATTGTATCTAATTAACAGACAAACCATGAAAATTAACATTGACCAACTTGTACCATGAATATGAGGCCAAGGTCTTATGAAACCTGCCAGGTCGACATGTTAACCTTAAAATCATTGCTAATACCAAATAAAATGGCCATATTGCTTATGGTATCTGAGTAATACACCAAACTGGAAAAAACTTAACATTGACCAATGAACCATGAAAATGCGGACGAGGTCAAATAAAACCTACCAGTCTCACATATACACCTTCCAATCATTCCGTTCACCGAATAGAGTTTACCTGTTGCTCCAAATTTCTGAGATGAGGACTTGACCACGAAAACTTACCCTTGATCACTGATCCTTGAAATGAGGGCAATTTCAGGAAAACCCAGTCTGACATGTTCAACTTACAAGGATCCCATATACTAAATATTGTTATTCTAATATTCATAATAAGCGAGTATTTAATATGACACACAAAAACATTTTTTCAAGCAGTCACTTAACCATGAAAATGAGGTCAAGGACAATAAACATATGACACCTTGAAACTTTTAAACACAAAGCATCTACATGCCAAATATGAAGCATCCAGGTCTTTCTCCTCCTGAAAAATAAACCTTTATATAAATAGTTTATGTCGTCGCACCCGCCGGGAAGTAATTTATATGTCTCGCACTCTACAACTTTTGTGTCAGGCGAGATAGAAATTGGCCTGATTAACCTTTAACAACAAATTGACTTACTTTTAATGGCAATAAATGGTAAACTGGGTGAAGTTTTGTTGATGCATCCTTATACCAAGTTATATTTGCAGGTTGCTAGTATCGGAAAACTAAATTTAAAATTTATACCTAATATTTATGTCTCATTTATAAATCTGTTATTGTCATAATCTTTTGTCGCATAAAACCTTGTTACCATTTTTGAAGCACATCCCTCATCACTTTGTGTTAACTGTGGATTAATCTATTAAAATGAAAATGTAATAAATATTCGTATTTTTTTTTTTCGTTATTATACTATTTAGATATGCTCTGTAAAAAGTACATATTCAGTAAATATAAGACAAAAATGCAGAGTTAATACATCAGCAATTGACAAGCACATTTTCGGACCTTCCCTGGTTTCGTGCAAAATTTCTCCAAGAGGCCGGGATCTATTTGTTTCCTAAAACTTGCATTGTATAAAAGAGGACGCACATTTATAAAAAAAAATCCAGATGGATTTGAAAATTGATAGGTGTGGTTTGACTGACAATTATCAACTTTTTTAAATGTTGACAATGATTCCTTTAGAAGATCATAACTTGATATATTAATATCTGTGTTATTGAAAATATTATAAATGAAATTGGAAAAAGTCAACATTGAAAGTTACTTTATTAATTTGTTGTCTTCGAGAATCTTTATGACATTTCGCTATTAAAGATTGAGCAACCAACAATAAATGAAGGAGTTGTCGCTCAATGTACCTTTTTTGGGTTAATTTATCATTTATTTACAAACAAATAACAGTTAATTCATATTTTAGGAGATTCTTCAAGCAGATTTGACAAGTGAAAGTGGCAGACAAATTATAATTCCTCTCTGTAAGTTCAATTATATATTTGTGACATGTATTTAACACATTGCATGTCTTCCACATAACTCATAGGTATATACTGAGATCTCAATATAAATACCCGCATCCTTAGGGGATGGAAGAGGGAAAAGACAAATCTTCCAATTAGAGAAAATTCTCACCATTTCTTGCTCTTTAAAAAATCTTTTATTATAAATAATTATTTGTTTTACAAGAATTGTCAAAACATATAATGCAGGTTACCTAATATGTTGAATTAGCTATTAATTGAATCATCAAGAAATTCACTTAATATGTGAATGGTATTTAAAAAATAATTATCATCTTTCAAAATCAACATGCATAATTTATTGATAAAATCGTAATGAAGAACTAAATTACATGTGTGCTACTACAAATATCTCTTCAGAAAATGTTCCCCGTGAGAGATATCTTAATTTTAAAAATTACCATAATTCTATAACTTGTAAAATCAATAATAAAATAAACCATCAAAGGGTATTTTATTGTTCATTTACAGTGCTTATCCAGAAGGCTTTGGCCTATAACTATACCAATTGTGTGAAAGTTCAACCCAATTGCAGTATGTATTCACCTATGCAAACTGATTCACTGTAAAACAGTTTAGATAATTGCTTCAGTAAAAGGTTGTTCATGTTGTAAGTGTGATGTGAGTGCAGGGACATAAAAATAATGCTCATCATTCAAGTCCAGTCATTTAAGGTGGTACCAAACACCTTGACTAAAATTAATTTAGCTCGTTTAATTTTCATAAAAATTAACTTTGACCCTTTAACATAAAACTTGAACCGCACACTTTATCGGGAAAAATTCATTGGATTTACGTATAGCAGTTTGACAAACACTTATTTTAATCATTGAGAAGCTTAATATTTCCTTAACAACAGAACGTGAATAAAACGTTCAGGTGATTTTTGCTGAGTTATCTCCCTGTAGTGTTATGTATCACCTTAATGTCTGTTCATGAAATTGAAATTAAATAATCACCTACTATAATATAAGGCACTGGTTTAAAAAGGTCTAACTTGGATATGAAAACATCTATCCTAATGACATTGTATGCATAATTAGTTCTAAACATTGTTTGGTATGTCAATAATTAATGGCTTTGTTCTCAATTTTATTGTTGTTTTTTAACAAGAAGCTATTACGTAATCTTAATTCGGATATTTTTTTCTAAAACAATTACTAATCTGCTGGAATTTAAGGGAAATAATTTAAATTCACTCATTGCATATATAAAAAAGTAATCAAAGATACCAGGTTTCTGATTTTGTATGCCAGACATATGTTTTGTCTACAAAAGACTAATGTGTGACGCTCAAATAAAAAAGGTTTAAATGCCAAATAAAGTATGAATTGAAATGTATTGAGGAACCAAAATTTTGATAGGTTTTTCCAAATACAGCTAAGAATTTTTTTCCTGTGTAGAAAATTATAAGTATTTTGAACATTCAAACTTTTGTAAACAGATAATTCATAATTTTGACCATATCAATGATACAGAGGAATCTGTGTGATTTACACAACGTTGATATGTTTTGAACATTTTTTTTCTAGTTTCACTCATCTTGAAAGTAAATTTCAGTTTTTTTTTCAAAACACATGAAAATCGTTGTATATTTTATGGAAATAATGTGTACAAATTGCAAAATGTAAATATGAGGGAAGTTGATAGTTGACAGAATGAAATATTGCTGTTTATAATGTTGATTATTTCCCGTTAATATTAGCAAATTAGTAATTGCTACAGAAAAAATATCCAAATTACAATCATGCAATAACTTCGTGTAACTTGGGGTGGTAGATGCAAAATTTTATTCGATGTTTATCTGCCTTCAAACCTGAAAAATACGTGAAGTTTCAAAGGAGCCTTAACGGTGTAATAAGAGGAAGACATTTTCCGACACCAATATATCAGAGTCATTACTAGTAATACTATTTTTCAATTCCCAACAACTGTGGAAAGGTCGGTTATTTGGTTTGAATGGTTTTTGATTGCGAGTAAGGTTCAGGGACAAACATCTGAAGCATGATCAATTCACGGAGATAGACCTTTATAAAATGTAGAAAATTACTAAACATCCAGTGACATATATTTTTCGGCAAGATAAAAAAGGAATCCAACCAAAATAACAGTAGGAAAATGTATAGTCATTATATTACATTTTGTTTCATTTTGTTTCATTATTTACTTCTCGAAGGGGAGGGAGCAAGACTGTGCATTAACAACTTCAAAGATGGAAACTAGAGAACTGGTTTAAGCTCCTCCCATTCTTTGCTTTTCCAACGAGATGCGGTCAACGGCGGATTGCAGAGTGCAATAACTAAAACAACTAGTATCTCAATTGTTTGTAAAACAATTGAAAGGTCTTTCCCTTTAAAGTCTGATATTTGTAATGCACTCATTACATCCTTTTATTTGATATGATATTTGTAATGTAGACTTGATGGCCTTTCATTTGCTTTGACACAACACTATCTTCTATAAAGTTTTAGTTTTGCACTTAATAACCCCATCTTACTCATTTTTGGAAGACAGGAATTTGATATATGAAATGTACACATTATGACTTTTTATTTGATATACGACAACCTTACCGAAGAAGACAATTGCTTTTTTGCACATAATGACCCCACTCAACTCATTTTTTTTGGCAACGTCAATTTGATATTTAAAATGTACGTTTTATGAACTTTCATTTGATATGCGACAACCTAATCATCTGAGAAATTTGAATTTTTGCACTAAATGACCCCACCCTTCCCACTGAGATGAAAAAGGGATTTTATATTTTCATTTTTCAGTAGAGCTCATTTAGACGTTCAATTTGATATACCAAATGACCTCATTTGGCAAAGTGCCAAAAATGATGCCATATCAATTGTATAAATTGAACTTATGAAACTTACAAAGTCAATGCAAAACATGAAAATTTATAATTGATTTTTTTTTCATTGAATGTTTTTGGTAATTATTTAAACATATAACCATGTTAAACTCTTCAATTTCTGAAAATTTCAGGTAAGCTGTTGTTGATTCAGAAATACATACCTCCGCTTGCAAAATTTCAAACTGCATTATCTCTAAAACGACAACAGATATCTTAAATCTGCTAAGTGAAAAATTATCTTCAGTTGAAGTACAAGATAATAATATAAAAATGGGACAGTTCATCAAGCTTACAATGAATAATTAAAAATATGACGCTATACCAAAAATGAGAACCGGAAGTCGTAGAGACATGGGACTACCACCATTCATTTCAGTACTACTTGACCTTTAAAATGTCACAAGGTCAAGGTCAAGGTCATAGTACACTTTTAAGGTCAAGGTAAAATTTCATTATGACCTTGACATTGACCTCAAATTGAAGGTATTGAAATACTGATTGATTTTGCATTTTATAGTAGGTTGATATCTGTTAGCTTTTCAAAGATATACGCAAAATACTATACTTTTAAGAATTATCTCGTAAACTTTTGAATGGATGGTTGGACAATTTTGAGGTTAATGTATACAAGTAATAGCTTTTCTAAAAAGCTTGCCGTATTTTAGCTGCTTATACATGTATTGAGATCGGTGGTTTGTGGGTATAGGTTTTTTTATTGGTATCTTGCACTCCAAGCATTGGAATATATAGTGTCTTTTTTCTCCTGGTTTTTTATTTTAGTTGTAGTATTGGTTAATCAGGGTTATCATTGAAGGACGCTTGATAGTCGCATATGATAATATATATATATGATTTGTAATAGCTAGAGTAACGATACAAACACTTTTTTTTTTGTTTTGTGGAATATGATTGTTTACTCTTTATGACAATGCAAGTAGTTTTAACATGCATACTGTGTCTTGACAGTTATGTAATAGTTAGCAAGGTTATAATCAAGTTGATAAGAACAACGTATTATTTACTTTTGAGGATTACTGCTAGACAAAATGGACTACCAGTGGCAGATCTAGAAATTTTCATAAGAGGGGGCCGCTCCAGTCATGTTTCAGTGATTCACTACATGTATATGATCAACCAAAGTTTTCCCACAAAATGGGGGGGGGGGGGGGGGGGAATGGGGGGTCCCCTGAAAAACTCTCTAAATCCGCCTCTGACTACTATAGTTGGCCGTTCGAATATGAGAATATTACATCTTATATGTATAGAAGACAGTGGTCTCTTTAGCCCAAATTAGAAGGGCGCCGCACCCTGGATGCCCTTAGCCACGCCCTGGGTGCCTTCAATTGCGCCCCTCCCTGGCGCCTTTTTCCAAGGGGGGAGAATAGTAAGTTTATGTCGCTTCTTTTGATTAATAGTGATCTGATGTATGAATGTGTATTGCCATGTTTTATGAACATGTAGTATGAATGACTTTTCTAATGCAAATTTTATAGAATAAATAATCAAAACAACAACTTATACATCTTTATTAACAACATATACAGTAAAAAAAAAGTGAACTCATGATACACACAGAAACGTAGACAAAAGAAATGAGATGTGCCTTTTCCTATCATAAAAAAGTGCCCTGCCCTTCACTGGCACCCTGCCCCTTTCTATTTCTAGCTGGAGCACTTCAAGTGATGAATATCTCATCTGACTTTTGTCTTAGAAGAAGCAATTAGTTTTGAAGGTACAGGTTAAGTGTTGTTATTACTAATTTCCAGATGTAGTATAACTGTAAGAAGATGTTTTGTGGTAATGGATTTGGAATGAAATATTAATTGCAAATAATTTTCTAGAACATGTTGTCAGCTGGCTTCTTATATTTTTTATTATTTTGTTGCAGTTTTTAATCTTGACATTTTTTTTGTAAGTTCTATAGATGAGAGCTTCATATTGGTATTATCATTTAGTGCTTTATATTTGGTTGCATGTGTAAGCATATGCTTTTGTTAGTTGGAATATTTATATTTTCATTTCTGATGGCAACAAGTTCATGTATTACATATAGCCAGGATTATTAGTAAGCGATAGTTGTTTTGTTTGTTTA